ATATTATATATTATATAAATTATATCTATAATATAATATATTATAATATAATATTATATATATAATATATAATATATATAGGAGGACCCAATAATCACTGTTCATGCTGTAGTATTCCAAATCCCAAAATATTATATAATATTATAATAATATATGTTATTAAAATATTATATAATATTATAATATATAATTTATAGTATTCCAAATCCCAAAATATTAATGAAACAAACAAAATATTACAAATTATAGTATTCCAAATCCCAAAATATTGATGAAACAAATAAAATATTATAAATTTTGGTATTCCAAATCCTAAAATATTGATGAAACAAACAAAATTTTAGAGATCCCAAAACATGTAAAAATTTTTATGGATTTCAAATTCTATGGTGAAATCCATATCCATAAATTTTGGGAGACAAAACAAACACCCCCTTATATGATGTAGTATACTTCTGTAGCCTACAGTTGCGGCTGATTATGTACTTCTATGAGTTGTTTGTGTATCCGCTGCTTTACGATTCCTACTTTATTATTTGTGAAACTTGTTGATGTATCGAAATTTTTATAGCTATTAGTACTTGTGGGATTTGTTTCTGAGTCTATTTATTTTGCTTCCGCTACTCAGTTTCTATTTATGCTTGTGTGATATTCTGTGTTGTAATTCTCGACATTAGATAAATGTGATTTTTTGTGAAGTTTGACTCAATTACATATGCCGCCCGGCTTAGTTACATGATTGAATTTTGACACACATATGTCAACAACAGCAGAGCAAAAGATTGAGAATTGAGGTACCAAAATAAAAGTATTGAAGATTTGAGAGACTGATATCAAAATATCCCCAATAATTAACTTTCTGAGGCCACGTGCCTCTGCAACTCCCATCTCCGACTCCTGTGCACATAATATCAACGGCACCAACGAAAACCAAACAAAAAACAAGGGGCCACATCAACCGCCTCAAATCTCCCAAAATCCCCTCTCCGCAGATCTCTCCCCATGGCGAGCGACACAGCCGATGACGTAACGCAATGCAGCGACCACCCCTACAGTAA